AAAGCATCCACCTTATCGGGTCGCTAAAAAAAATTAATACATAAATCAGTAAATAAACAGACATGATATTAAACAAAGACAAATATGTTTCAAACTAGCATTGTATTCACCCAAGTCATTATTCTATCATAGTTCACAAAATGCTCAGATAACATTCCAGAAGTAAGCACTTATATAAACATTTAAAAGGACAACATATATAAAACATTCCAGAAGAAGAATAGTTTACTTTTGCAACACGAAACTTAAAATCGCAACGCGAAAATGACTATCGCAACGCAGAAATGGCTATTGCAATGCGAAATGCAAATCGCAACGACAAAATCGCAACGCGAAACACAAATCGCATTGCGATTTTCATTTCGCGTTGCAATTTTCATTTCGCATTGCGATTTTGTCGTTGCGATTTTCATTTCGCATTGCGATAGCTATTTCCGCGTTGCGATAGTCATTTTCGTGTTGCGAAAGTAAACTATTATTCTTCTGCAAATTGAAACTTGAATGGATTGTATTACTTCAACCAAAAGACAAAAACAAAACCAAAAACAAATACTAACAAAAACAGTTTAGCAGTATTGGTAGCAACCGAATGAATTATGAGTATGAATAATCTTAAACTTACCTCGTTGCGTAGAGTATAAACCTCATTCTGCAACGATGCTACCATCTCACGTAGAGCGGCTACCTCACCGCGTAATGTAGACACCTCAACACGCCATGCACCATCGTCTTTGCGTAAAGTACCGACCTCCTCACGCAAGGCATTGACCTTATCACGTAACTCCCCTAACTCATCCCGTTGAGGTGGAGGTGGAGAACATGGAGATAAACGTCGTGGCATCTTTGTCGGTCGTCTATCTTGCGGTGATGGTGGAGAAGAGGCTCGATGATGTGACATAATAGGTGATGGCTGTCGTTGTGGAGGTGTATAGTCGGGTCGATCAGATGATGGCTCTGGGTGAGGTGATAGCTCTGGGCGAGGTGATGGCTCCCGAAGTGGAGGCTGCTCATCAACCGTTCCATCAAAAAAACGCTTACTAGCTTGCCACCAATCAGTGGCAAGCTCATCTTCCGTGAGTGTCAGCCTCTGTAGAGGAGTGTTGGCCTCCTAACAATATAAAAGCTCAAACAAAATTAAACGTGTACTAGTAATAACTTGTTTATAAACATATGGTAGTATTTATGTTAACTTACATTATTTATTGTCGTATACCATAGTAAATCTTCCCATTGCAAGGTCCGTTTCCTCTTCCAGGAAATAGCCCTGGGAATATCATTTGAAGTTTTTATTGCATATGTCTTCATGGCGGGAAAGACCTCAAATATCCAAATCTACAAACAATATAATAACAAACATTAGTAATTGTTAAATAATTACTTATAATTTTGGAAACATTATATAAAAATTCTTACCTTAAAGGCCCAAATAAAGACTGTCAAAGTGTATTTGGAACCATCGCCATGCAAACTTTTTCGATCATCCAAGGCAGACGATAACTTATTCATGTAGCTTTCCATAAATACGAGCCCACGAAAACAGGTTCCACGCATTTAGGTCTTCTACCAATTGATTAGATCATTTGGAATAGGTTGTCTGGCCTCTCTGCCTAAAAGCCGGCATGCAAAAGAATTAGAAGGCATACTCGGACAACGTCGACGTCATCCATCTGAGTAAAACCATCTTTCTTATTCAACAATCTTGTCAGGTCTTCTACGTGTAGATTCGGCCTCTCCAGCTCAAGAAAAACCCGGGATAGCCATGATGGGCGGGTAATGTGTCTAGTGTACCGACCTACATCATCGTGTCCGAAGCGTAGACCGGTGATTAAGCAAAACTCCTCCCGCCCAAAACACGTATACGCCGGTGGAAAATCAAACCATATCTCTCATCACGATGTTGTATAGTCTCTGGTAGATCGCTAGTCATGGTTTGAAGAAACAGGTGTGTCAACATCGCATCTCCACCGGGATGTTGTACTTTCAGCCATGGCCCGAAGCATGTATCCTCAAACATTTTTCTTTGTGCAGGTGAAAGCTTCGACGCAATTATTTTGGCCAGGCTGACTTTATTTCTTAAGGTCAATTGAGCCGAATAAAAGTTCTACAAAAACAATAAACATACTAAGTTAGATATACCAAAAACTACACTGTGAAGATATACCAAAAACAATAATAAACATAAAGAGTAGTGTTTATTCTTCAAACTTAAATTTGCAATACTGTGAATTTCGTATTTGTCTTTGTTTTTTGGTTGAAGTAATGCAATTCATTCAAGTTTCAATTTGCAGAAGAAGAATAGTTTCTGAAAATGAAAATCGCAACACGAAAATGACTATCGCAACGCGAATTTGACTATCGCAACGAGAGAATCACAACGCGAAACTAAAATCGCGTTGCGATTTTTATTTCGCGTTGCGATTCTCGGTTGATTTAATAAGCAATCTAAGTGAAATGGTTAATCTATTATTGAAATTACCAGTAAGCTTATCATCAATTTCAATATGAAAAACCTAATAATAATGCAAAAATTTCAAAAAGAAATAATTAAAAAAACTAACCCTCGTTGGTTGATTTGGTTGATTTTCCATTTCTGATTGTGAGGGTGGCTCTGAGAGATGGAGATAGGCGGATTTCGCCGGAGATGGGACGGATTTTGTCGGAGATGGGGACGGATTTCGTCGGATATGGGTGAGAGAGTGAGAGATGGAGATGAGACTGAGTTGTGATTTTAGGTTTTAGGTTATGAGTTGCGATTACGGGATATACTGTGGACGGTTCAGTGTTCCAATATATTAATATTCGTGTTTAGAATTTAAAAATAAAATACTTGGCCAGGATACTAATGGCGCTTTGAAAATCGCATTGCGATTATGTATTATCGCGTTGCGAAAGTCAGAATCGCGTTGCGAAAGTTAGTATCTCGTTGCGATTTTGTATTATCGCATTGCGATAGTAAGTATCGCATTGCGATAGTCAGTATCGCATTGCGATTTTCCCAATTCGCGTTGCGATTTACTTATTCGCATTACGAATTGGGAAAATCGCAACGACACTGTAGACCATCGCAACGCGATTTTCAACTATCGCAACGCGAAATGCAACGCGAATTTGCGTTAATGGAGATCGCGTTGCGAATTAGCGATCGCATTGCGATTTTGTTGGTCATTTTGGCAAATCCGGAAAAAATTGGTTAAAATCGTATATTATATGGGATTTTTTGCCACTGAGGTTATTTTCTCTTTCATATTTTATAGATATAGATTAAACAAAATTTCAATAAGTTATTTTTTTAATTATTTAATTTATGTAGAAATAAAAATTAAATGTTAAATATATTAATAAATTACTATTATAAATTGATACGGTAGACACATGGATCGATTTAAATATATATATATATATATATATATATATATATATAATTATATAATAAATTAATTATGAAGTACTAAATATAAATATACGAACAAAATTAAAATATGTCAAATCACTTTTATTTTTTATATAATACTTGAACTATCCAAATATTCTTAAATTTTTTTAATTGAAAGTAATTATATTTAAATTTACTGTTTCTGAAAAATATTAGCTGAGTTAAAATTTAATGGAGATATTTTTTTAGTTTTAGAATATTGTAAATGATTTTATTCGAACAAATAACTTTTTATTGATTTGGAAATTTGATTGGTAATAGGATAGAAGCTGTTCAAGCGTGAAATTTGATGACCTGAGATGGCTGAATTTAAAGTTTTGAACCGGGAGGGAGGCCTTTTTGCATGTTTAAGTTAAGACCTCTCGCACGGACGGAATGAACTCGTGTGGTAAAAGAATTATTGTTATTTTTTGATATTTTGATTTTGAGTATCAGGAATATTAGATATGTGAGTATTTAATACTAAATGTTGAGAGTTATCTTTGACCATATACAATTTTATATTTACCCATATTATTTTAAAAAAATTAATACCAAAATAAGTGTCCAAACTATATCATTTTTCTCAAATATGTTCCTAAATTAATTTTCGTCTCATCCAGTTGTTTAACGTTACAAACGTTACTAATTTAGGTGCTCAACTCGTCAACGATATTAATTTCTGTCGTTAAGTGACACATGTCATAATTTGGTGATTTTAAAATTTGTTTTTTAAATTAAAAATATTATGATATTTATTAAAAAAAAACAATTTCCTTGTATTATAAAATAGTCCCAAAATCTCAAATTCAAATCTTAATCCACTGTTGCCGCCTTTCCGACTACAACCACCATCACCGACGTAGTCCCTACCATCATCCTACTCATATGTCATCGTATTTTCCTTCGATTTTAATCCTAGAGTTTGAACGGTTTAAAACCTTGATTCATCATTGATCGGTCACGATTTCATATGACTTTTGGTCGACGGGCGGAGGGTAGGTCGGGTGGAGGCTTTTTGACGACAAAAGGCGACAGTCGACGTGGACTTAAGATTGAAATAAATGTATTCAAAGTTTTAGGTTTATTTTAAAATTTGTTTTTTTTTTCAAAAAAGTATATAATTTGAATTTTTAATTTTAAATAAAAAAATTTAAATTATCAGATTGTGACACGTGTCATTTAACGGAAAAATTAACAATGTTACCGGCCCAGACACCTAAATAGGTAATGTTTGTAACGTTAGACACATTTATGAGTCAAAAATTAGTTTACGCACCTATTTGAGAAAATGGGTATACTTTAGTCACTTAGTTTGGTATTACGCATTAAAAAAAAAGCAGATCCCTCCAAAGGGGTGGAGCAAAATCCAATAATTCCGGACATGACATCAATGTGGATCCGGTTCAAAATGGCCCATGCCTGATTTGATTTAATATTTGAAGTTTATATCCTCAAATTTACGTATCACACACAATATCGAACATAGATACAATGGAACTCCAAGCAACATACATCCTTATAACTAGCAAATCTTTACCATCTTCCTGCAAAATACATATTTAACCTCTTACCTTAGAGATTTCCCTTTTCTATACTATGCTTCTTTGATCCCAGCAAAGGTGATGATTCAATCACCTTCTCACAGCTTACGGCATTATACTTATGCAGATTGCTAGCACCCATGCTGTCGAGATGAGCTCTCTATTGGGTATTCATGTCAGATTTACTGTGAAAAAAAAGAGGATGGAGTGCAGCATAGTTAGGGATATGAATAATATTATTTGGTTTGAAGTTTATAAGGAAATGCCAGATGCTAGTAATATCGAGATATCATCATTCGGTTTAAACCGAAGCTTTTATTTCTTAGGAATGCAAAGGGTGATAAGTAATACCTATTGTCTTATTGAGCAGCCAAAGCAGTAAAGCTAGTTCGATTCCGAATATAGTGTGGATTCCAGTTCTGTCTACCATGAAACCGAACACTGTGATTCCAGCTCTGTTGTGCTCTAGATAATTCACTGCAATACGTGCAAGGAACCGAATTAGGATTATACCGAAAAACATATGTGGATTAAAAAGAACAAGCCATGCTTCTTTTCCCAACTTACCTAAAGCCTGTCTCTTTTGGAAAGAGATTGTGTGTGCAAAGACGGGTACAAGCTTCGTGTTGTCCAGATCATCACTTCCATCTTCTTCATCTGATTCCCAATCATCCTCTGCTGGATACATTCGGGGAGAAGTGATCTGATTTGTCGGAGTCTCGTTTTCAGCATCGTCAAAAGTGTTAATTGTGGCACAGACATGCCACTTGGAAGCAAGGCCTGTAATAGCCTGTGCTCTATGAGTGATCTTTGTTGCACTCCGCAAGCAGATGAATAATCCGGTCACCAGACTTATGGAGCATAACTACGATCAATCATCATAGAATAATCATGAATTTTCATTTAGACAAGTCTAGAGATCCTGTACTCTGTAGTATAGCTTTCTATCAACTAGAAATTAGTGGCTTACCGCAAGTTCTCCAACCTCGTAGATATTGACAGAGGTAGTTGTTCGAGTTGTCAAAAGCAAAGCAAAGAACTGACTTGCAGTGACCAAGAGCAGTGATAACAAAAGAAACAAGCGAAATCGGTGGCTTATGATCCGGAGATTTCTTCTTATCCTGAGGTGTTCAGCCAAGATTGAACTCACTTCAGTTTCCTTTTGAAAAACTTGAGCAAAGTCTTCCAGCCGGAGTATTTGCAGATGGCATGTAAGTTGGTAAAAGATGCAGGCTAGGATGAAAATGGATGTTCGATAAAGCCATGACATCAGCTGCAATGCACACGCAATGGTGTCGCTCACTATCATGTTGCCCAAGTAGGGAATTTGGCTCGGTCCCGTCGCGTACCACCAAATTCTGTATGCACTCTCAAGAGCAAAACAAGGGAGAACAAATACACCGAGGAGTTTCATTGATTTCTGCACATATCAGACCTTCAAATTTTAGATGATTCCACAAAATAGAGTTGAATGATTTAGACAAGTTTTCTGTCATATGCTGCCCCGACTCTTTATTTTTCCTTACCAATGTCCGCAATTGAGTCAGGACACACCGATAACGAGGATTTCACCTCTAAGTGTCCTCCAAATACATTAGGGGGGAAATTCTAAAAAAATTAAACCATAACCAAATTCTGTATGCACTTTCAGCAGCAAAACAAGGGAAGACAAATACACAAGAATTTCATTGATTTCGTACACACAATATGCGGATTTGACCTATTAAGATGCTCCAGCTATAGGGAAAATTTTATAAAGATCTAACCATAGAGATTCATACCCATATCCCATACTCAAGCAGGTGAACACAAATTAGCTTAATTATTACAATTAGCTTAATATTTATCTCCTAATAACCTGTGGCATATGCAATTAGCAAGTTATCAATCCAGCTAATGAAAAACAAAGAAAATCTCCGACCAAAATAACTCATCTTAGAAACAATCGAAATTCATCGACGATCATCAAAATTTCATCAAGAACAAGGAGGCGAATATGAAATGGCTTGAAAACACATTTTATACCTGAAGCTCCTCTGCGTATCCTCGTCGAACCTTATCGCTGACATCACACAGTTTATCCAAGAACAGGAACTTCCTGATCCCATATTTCCGAGCCCAATAAGACAAACTCACAAAAGAAATCGCCGCGAAAGACGAAAGAGATAACTGTACCAACGCATCGTAGGGTCTTTGATGCTGCTTATCACAATCCGAGCACAAAAGCAGAAAGTGCGAAATTATAGGAGATCCGACGGCAAGCACGAAGAAGATAGACCATGAGAGACTAAGTTTCCATAAACTCGATTGATCTAAGCAAAACCAGCGGAGACCCAATCTGAAACTCTTCAGTTCGAGTCCTTCCTGAGTTGCGTAGCCGGGGTTTGGCCTGTTTTGCGGTAACAAATCCTGGGTCGCTTCATTTTCCATAGCTTTGGGAACTTCGAAAAGATCAGATTGGGAGTGAGAGAGATGAACATATACAGAGATGATCGGATAGGAAAAATAATATAGAAACGGGTCTTTCGATTTCAATATACGCGTATTGTGTTTAGATTAAAGCGTAGAAATGAATGATTGGTTTTGTTGGTCGAGGGACCCTGGCTGGATTCTGGAGCATTGTTGTTGATGCTTTATTGATAATGGACCATAAACTTGGAACATCAACATTAGCTTATATTTCAGGGTGTACTTCGATGTTTAAGTTAACAAAAATGAAATAACGATGCACATTATTATATTTTTTTTAAAAATAGTGTAAAATATTTTTGTTGTTGTTTTAATTTCCTTTGGGCAAGTTGGGTCACGGCTGTGAGATGGCCGTAGCTAAATACAACTATTAGAAGATCAATCCCAAGACACGTGAGTTTGTAAATCACTTGGACTAAGGGTTTTGCATTCTTTATTAATATTACTTGAGAGACTTCTCTTCCTTTTTGGGCTTGCTTCGAGTATAAGAGACTTACATTTCAATGTCTCGTACAGATCTCGCATCTTGAAATGAGATTGAATTGGGGAAGGCTTATTCTTTACTTTTTCCTTTTCTTCTTTCTTTTTTTGGTGGGTAAGAGGGCATAGCCTTAAGGGTTCGTTTGGTTCACGAAATGTAAGATTATCAGTGGGAATAAAAGATTACCAGGGAATAGGATTACTGGGAATGTTGTATTTTGTGTTTGGTTGGTTTAGCAGGAATGTAAGATTACCGTGTTTGGTTAAAGGAATAAAAGATTATTAGAATGTATATTTGACCAAATTGTCCTTATTATATATTTGTATAATATTACAAATTGTAAAATATTTATATATTTTCTTTAAAAAATTAAATTCATAATATTTATATAATTTTTTTTACAAAATTAAAAATATAAAAAAAAGTTTAATGAAAGGATAAATTTTTTTTAACCCTTGAACTTTATATAAAAATTTAATTATATATATTTTTTTGTAAATCTAAAATAATTTAAGGATAAATTTATAATTTAACTTTCGTAGAATTTTTATTATTCAATGACAGAAGAATGATATTTTTGAAAAAAAAAAATTTAAGGGCATTTTAGTCCAAAACACTAGTAATGTTACAATACCTAAGGGAAGGGAGGTAATGACATTCCCGGTAATATACCCCAAAAAATCTACTATTGGTAATAAAACATTACCGGGAATGAGATTCCCGGCCAACCAAACATGGAAATGTGGGATTCTCATCCCATGGGAATCCCACAATCCTTGAACCAAACACCCCCTAAGGGTGTTTGGATCAAGAAAAAAAATTATTATTAAGGGGAATATTTTTTTTGGAATCATATATCTACATTTGGTTTAGAAGCATTCCCACTAAGGGATTAAGAAGTATTGCAAACAGTATTTTCTTTTCATTACATTCTTGGGAATATCATTTCCTTATAAATCTTAAGTATTTAACAATTCTCGTCGAATTAAACATAAATATCCTTAAAATAAAAGAAATATTTCAAAACTACCATTTCTTTTATAATATCATTTTAAGTTGCAACTCATTTTACGATCACAACCTATTTTATAGTTGCACCATTTTTTGAAGTTGCAACTCCTTTTTATGTTGCAATCTTTTTTTTAAGGTGATGATTTCCCATATAATGAGACTCACACTCACCCAGAAAGTTTAAATATTGTATAAAGTTTTTTTATTATAATTTTTATTAATTTTATCAAATAATTTATTTATGTAGAAATTTTATTAAAAATATATAAATTAGAAATAATAAAAAAGTAAAATATTTTTTATGAAATTTCATTTGTTAAAAATGAAAACTATCTCAAGGGCAATTCAGTAAAATATACATTTTTCTTATCTTATATTCGTCCATCTAAACATTGTAATCGTATATTCTTATCAAACAAATCCAACAATATAATACAATATTCTCAGCAATGTGTTAAGTAATGTAATATTCCGATAATCTTATTTTCAACGATAATTTTATATTCCGTGAACCAAACTTCCCTAAACATAACACAGCTTCATTTTCTATTTTTTCCCCTTTTCTTTAATCAAGTTTGATAATCTCGATTTTGATTAAGGATGGGTATATAATGTGATAAATCCTTTTTTTTTGGTTGCCAGATAAATCCATTTTTTATTGTTTGACGTCGACTAAAAAAATCATTAGCCTATAATTTATTATAAATAATAATATTTTATTTATCTTGAATTCATCATAAATTTTGAAATAAAAATCCGTTATTGATTATATTTAAGGCCATATAAACGATTTTTTATTTGATAAGATAATAAAAAAAATTGAATATAAATATATGAAGAAAGATATTATAGTAATTATTTTTAAATACATATAAGAAAATTATTAGTACTTAATTCTGGTTGAGAAGTGTTGACTTTTTATCCTAGATTCAATCTCATCCACAAAAACAGATTCAACTTTTTCTAGCTTGTATTAAAAAAATTATCGAATCAAATCAAGTCAAAATTCGTCGAATTTAAATAATTTTATAAAATCAACATTTTAGTTCTAATGAAAGAAATATTTATAAAACAAAAAGTATATTACATAAGATGAATATTATCTCTAATCAAAAATTTATAAAATGATAATATCCAAATATAAAATTATAAAAATTGAGAAATTTATATATGATTGAACTCAATCTCCTTACATGATATCATTCTTTCGCATAATTATATGCACAAATTAAGCCAAGTCTTCATCCACAAAATAAGAAGGAAAATAATAATGGAGGCAGGTAGGCTTCTTCTTCTTATTTTATCCTGTGAAATCTCCTCCGGCGATGACGTGTCTAACTTGAATTTGTTTTCTTATGTTTGTTAAAAGTATGCTTTCTTAAGCATGGAGCAGGGATCAATTAGCTAGCTGTTTTGCTTAAATTTGAAGTCAGCTTCAAGGTCGTCACTTTCACAACCAAGTGACAATTAATTTGTTGGTCCAATTGGAACTCAAAGGGTAAACTTCCCCCATTCATATTTTATCTTGGCCACATTTTAATATTTATGATGCAATGTATCTATACAATAATTAAAAATCTCTCCCTTAAATATTACATTTATAGAAATCCTTTATTGAAATTCTTAATTTTTTATATAAACGATTTCTTAATTATAAGATGTTATTTTATTGAATATTTTAATTATTTTTTTTTTTTTGAAAATTAGATAAGAAAACTACCTAAATTAGGGTTTTTCTCTCTACCATTCCTAAGGGTTTTTCTCTCTACCCGTCCTAAGGGTTTCTGCCGCCAATCGCGGTTTGATCTATCTTGTTTAATCATTCTACGGGTTTCTACCGTTGCTATCGGTCGTCTTTAGGTCCTCTTGTTGTGTTTTCACGTTCTGTTCTATTGTCTGGTCGGTGTGGCAGGATTGCGATGAGTGAGCTTGAAGAAAAACTTGAAGAATTAGATCTGGGTGATGAGGAGGAGGAAGTTTTGGCAATTGGTCTGCCGAACGCTACTCCGCTGGTTACGCTTGAGAATTGAATGGTTGGTCGATTTCTTTCATATGGTAATATTAATTTTCAGGCTATGAAAACTATGATGGCTAACGTTTCCATTGGAGGAGTAACGATCACGAAATTTGAGGATGGTCGTTATCTTTTCCAATTCTACCCCGCAGTGAAAGTCGATCGGATCTGGGATGATGGCCCCTGGTACTTTAATTATCACTTATTGCTTCTTCATCGACTGCAGAATGATGAGGATCTGAGGGTTGTTCCCCTTGATACTGTGGCGTTCTGGGTGATAGTGTCTGACTTCCCGGTAGGGTTCATTTCAGAACAGGTGGCCAAACAATTTGGAAATTCCATTGGGATTTACATTGACTTTGACGCCTCGGCTATTTCTCTTGGTTATAAAGGGTGCCTTCGAAATCGTGTAAGCTTGGATGTTTGCAAATCATTGAAGCGCAAGAAAAAAATAGCGATACCTTCTGGGAGTTTTGGGTATGCTACTTTCCAATACGAAATCCTTAGGAGGGTGGCTTGATCCGGAATGAACGGCAGATGGAAGCTTTTCATCAGGCTTTAACGGATTACGATTTGTACGATGCTGGGTACACTGAAATTTGATTCACTTGGGAAAGGGGGAGACGTGACGAGACGATTATTCGGGAGAGGTTAGATCGTGGAGTCATAAATGGTAATTGGTCCAACATTAAAAATTAAGTAATAATGGGAATTTAATGCAAAGGGCGAGAAGAGTCCAAGTTCAAAACGACGCACACCACATCTATTGATTTCGATTGTTAATTTCAAACACAACTAAAATGAAATTGTGGCAGGTAAAAATTTAAGTGACAGATCTAAAAATATTTTTTTAATATATATAGATATGTATTAATAATTTAAACCTTTTATATAAAATAAATATAAATAAAATTTTAAAATAAATATTATCAATAAAATAAATAATTAACATACAAATTTTAAAATACTATATAAAGTAAATAATCTAAAATCCTAGTCGTTTTCTTTCCCTCCTCTCTTTTTCATTTTTTTTCTTTACAATTTGTATTAATTTTATTAATCAATTCAACTTTTTTTTTAATTTTGTTTAGTGACGGCGACACCGATTTTAATGTTGGTTGTCGCCCGCCTGTTATCTTTTTCTCTTTGTTTTTTTAGTTTTTTTAATAAGAATAATTATGTCTTTGTGATATGTTCTATGCTTTTATGGCTATTTTATCTATGTCTTTGTGACACGTTTTTCTCTACCTTTTGGTAGCTTACGATTTTTTGTCGTTATTTTTTTATTTTTTTTCTCAGGGTTGGATTTGACATCGCTACGACTGATCAAGATGACGCTTATTTGTTATCATGATTATATTCACTGCTTTGGACCATCCAATTGATTTGGATATGCATTTTGCGTTCGTGAATAGTTTTCTCATGTCGCTTGATTATGATTTATGATTTTCGGTGGTATTTCAATAATTTCACACTTTTTTGTAGTTTGTTTACCGATGTAATTAGATTTATTCGTATCTTTGTTTTATTCAGTTTTTTAACATTTTCCTTCTTTAGTCCTTATGTGATTAGTTTTTGTCTCAACGACAATAGTAAAATGTTTCAATTATATTTTAGGTTTACCATTATACTTATAAATTTTCATTGTAATTTTAAATATTTTTTAT